TGTATGGATTGGGATAACAGTTGTATGAGCCCCTAATAAAATGTTAAAAAAAAAAAAACCAAAACAAACAAATAAATAAATAAAAATGGAAAAAAACAAAAAAAAGAGTAAAATCCAAAAAAAAAAAAAGGAAAGAAAGCATCCCAACCGAGTGTTGTCCAAGCCCCTAAGTCCAACATTAGCCCATATGTCTAACACCGATCTACAAAGTTCTCCTCCATCTCACAAAACAGACACAATGACGCCGACTGCAGGAGGAAAGCCAAATCAGTGAACAGGTAAGCATCTCAGTGCTGGCAGGGGTCTCTACACAGCTTCTCCAGCACCCAGGACTGCCTCAGGGCAGGTCCATGTGGCTTCTCCTCAGGAATGTCTCAGGCTAAGGAAGCTGCACCCTGGTCCGACCATCAGAGAGGAAGAGCCCTGAGAACAAAGAAAGGCGAGACTCACTGAGCCATTTATCTCTCCGCACCTTCAATTAATCCCATATGTGTTTATCAGCCAGGTTGGCACAATAAACCTTAACTATCTCAGCCAGCAATTTGAAACCACCAGCAGCTGGATGGGAGAAAGATGAAGCTTTCTACTCCAGTAGAGTAACAGTCTGAGAAACCCACAGGGGCAGTTCTACCCTGTCCCATGTGGAAGCGGTGAGTCAGAATTGACTCAAGGGCAGTGAGTTTAAATGCTGAAGTCCTGTGGCAGCTGCTGGAAATACAGAGGAGCACAAAATGTAATTCACAGGCTATTCAAGAAGACAGACTTGAAGGAAAGGAAGCAGGAATAAATAGATCATTACATCTGGTACTAGTCCTTCAAAGGGAGAGTTTAGGGAGGATGAGTGTGCATCATAGGAAGACATAACTCAGTGTAGATCCATCTTTCCAGGATTATGCCATTAAGACTCCATTTCTAGGTGTTACCTGCCTTCTTCTTTCCCCATTCAAAGAGAGTGGGACAGTGAGAGTTAGACCCAGTGAAAACAGGACAACAGATATTTCTAGGTAGATTAAAATGTTAGCAGATAAAAATTAAAGATATACTTTCTTGTTTCCAGGGAGACGTGGAATTGCAAGAGTTCTGGAAAAGATGATAGTGCTAAATTGTTCCACCAAATTACTAATATTGGAGAAAATGTTGAAGAGTCACTTTCCTGAATCACTCAAGGTACGATAAGCCTAAGGGTTGTATTTTATTTTACTGACCTGTGAAATAATGTCAGACTTAGAACTTTTTCCGAATTGTTTTCCGGTGGCAAGAATTTCGAGAAACACTTGTTTAACATACAGCTTTCCAGGTCTTCCTGCTCAAAACTCCCTGGCACGGAGTCGCTACTGACCCACAGCATCCTTATCCTGTAGGACCGAATAGAACTGCCCACCTCGATTTCCAAGACTGCACATCTTTACAGGAGTAGAAAGCCACATTTTTCTTCAGTTGAGCCACTGGTGGTTTCAAACTGTTGAGCTTGTACTTAGTAATCCAACATGAAACCCACTATACCACCAAGGCCCAGGGAGTTGCCCTTATGAGAATTGCTACAGATAATTTTTTAGAGCAAGCTAAGCAACGCTGGACTAGATTAGAGAGCCCCGATGGTAGGATGGGCTACTCACTTGTCTGTTAACTGAAAGGTTAGCAATTTGGACCTATGAGCCTGCTTTTCAGTTGAAAAACCCAACTGTCTGCTCTTACAAAGATTTACAATCTCAGAAATTCTGGGGAGCAATTCTACTCTGTCATATTGAGTCACAATTATTTTTTTTGTTGGTTTGTTTAGTTTATGTATTTTTTGGATTATTTCTGAAGTATATCTTAATTCTAAAAAATTTCAACAAGACAAGGGTAATAAGCTAAATAAACAATGGAAATAAAATTTAGAGACTGAATTTCTTTTATTGCTTGTTTCAATATCTTTATTTTAAAACGTATTTTTCAATAACTCTGTTGGTCATCAAGCCTTCCAACGTCCCTGGAGTGGCCTGCTGACCACTAAGGGCTACTATGAGTGTTAACATTAATGAATTATAGATAAATGTAATATTGGAACTATTATAAGCACTTGGGGGGGTGGGGGCAGCCTGAGTACAATCAATGTATCTTTGAGGACTAAATTTCTTTCTTTTTTTTTAATACTTTCATTGGGGGCTCTTACATCTCATCACTATCCATATATTCATCCAATGTGTCAAGCACATTTGCACATATGCCCCCATCATCATTTTGAAAGCATTCTTTTCCCACTTGAGCCCCTGATATCCATTCCCCATTTCTTCTCCCTCCCTCCCCCACCC